AAATTCTGAGAAGGACCTACGCCGATGGACCGACGGACCCGCCTTCCTGATGCTCCCGGACTCACTGTGGCTTCAGGCGCCTGCAAGCCTCGGCGAGCTTCCGGACGAGTTTACAAAACAGGATTTCCGTCAGGTTATGCAGAGAGTCTCCGAGAGGGGTCGGTTACAAATTTTCGGAAGTTGCCCCAACTGGATATTCTTTTAAGGAAAAAAAGTAATAATATTCTGGAAGCAGGTGAAGTTGACGATGATGATGATTCGGATGATGAGGATCAACAAGATGATGACGATGATGTTGACGATGTTTAGGGTTCGGATCATGGTAAATGGGATCATGACGACCATCTTGATCAACCGAATGATGCCTCGGATAAACACGACGAGGATGATGAGACCATAGGCATGATGATGGTGATTACTCCGAAGGGTGACGAGAATGATGACGCTGATGATGATGACCATCATCATTTTGAATGAGGATGAGATCAGGATGATGACGATGATTCGAATGTTCATGATGATTCGGATGACAATGATGATGGTGATGCTGATGATGACTATGAAGAGGAAGATGGTGACGCAAATGATGATGAGGATGATGATGATGATGACGATGATGATGATCATGATGATGATGACGATGCTGATGATGATGATGACGATGATGATGATGATGATGATGATGAGGATCATGATGCTAAAGATAATGACGATGATGATGATGAGGTCGATGATGGTGGTGTTGATGATAACGATGATGATGTTGAAAAAGATGATGATGAAGATTGCGATGTTTCAGATGATGATGATGATGATGATGATGATGATGATGATTTAGATGTTTCGGTTGATGGTGATGAGGATCTTGATCATGATCATGACAAGTATGATTCGTGGTTTGAGGATGATGCTGATGATGAAGATGACCATGATGTTGATGAGGACGATGATGATGATGATTCGGCTGACGATTCGGATTTTGATGTTAATGAGGATGATGATGATCATTATGATAATAAAATTGATGATGATGTTTATGAAGATGATTCCAATGATGGTGATGCTAAAGATTACTCGGATGATGATGATGATGAAAATGATGATGAAGATGAAACGATGATAATGATTCTGATGATGATTCGGATGATGATGATGAAGGAGATGTTGATGACTATAATGATAAAGAAGATGATGATGATGAGGTTGATGATAATGATGATGATCATATTGAGGTTGAATTTGATGATGACGTTGATAATGGTGTATCAGGTGTTGATGATGATGACCATTTTGACGACTCGGATGATGGTGATGATGATCATGATGATGATGAAGATGAGTCGGATGATTGTGATGTATATGATGATGATGATGACGATGATGATCATGATTACGATGATGTTTATGATGAAGTTTCGGATAATGAAGATAATGCTTCGAATGATGTTGAAGATAATGATGATGATGATCATTCGAATTATGAATACGATGTTGATGATGAATTGATTCGAAGGATGATGTAGATGATGATGATGTTGGTGTCGAAGATGATGATGAAGATGACTACGATGTTGATGAAAATGATTCCAATGATAATTATGATACTGATGATTCGGATTATGATGATGTTCATGAGGAAGATGTTCATGATTAGGATGACGATTTTGATGATATTGATGACACCAATGACGATTTTAGGAGGATGATGATAATGATGATGATGTTGACGATGATTCGGATGATGATCATGTTAATGAAGATGAAGATGACGAAGATGATGATGATATTGAAGTTGATGATAATGATGATCGTGATCATGATGATGATGTTGATGGGAACGATGTTAATTATGATGAAGATGACGATGATTCGGAGTGAGATGATGAAGACGATGATGATGAAGATGATGAAAATTTGGACGATGATGATGATCAAACAGATGATAACGAAATTGAATCGTATCATGGTGATGACTATGATGAGGATGATGAGGACGATGATGATGGCGATGGTGATGATGATGATGATGAAAATGATTTGAATTATGATGATGTTGATGAGGATGATGAAGACGATGATGATAATGATAATGACGTTGAAAATGATTATGATGAGGATGACGATGATGACGATGATGATGATGTTGATGAGGATGATGATGATAATGATGACGTGAAGGTTGACTCGGCTGTAGATGATGATGCTGAAGACGAAGCTTACAACGGTGATGGTGACGATGATGATGATGATGGTGATTCATTTCATGATTTGGATGATGATGATAATGATGATGATGATGGTGAGGACGATGATGAAGATGATGATCATGATGACGATGACAATGATGATAATGATGACGAAGATGATGATCTTGATGATAATGATGGTGATAATGATGAGGATAATTATGCTGAGGATTCGAATGATGATGATGATAATGATGAAGATGAAGTCGCTCATTCAAAGGAAAGTCGTTAGGATGATGATGACGAAGATGATAATGATGACGACGATTCGGAGGACGATGATGATGACTTTGTTGATGAATCGGATGATGCTGATGCTTATGGTGATGATGATGATGATGGTGAGGATGATGATGATGATGATGATGTTGACGATTCGGATGATGCTGATGCTTATGGTGATGTTGATTATGATGATGATGATGATGACGATGATGACGATGATGATGACGATGATGAAGATGCTGATGATGAGGATGATAATGATGATGATGACGATGATAATGACGACGATGGTAATGAAGAGGACGATGATGATGATGATGATGATGATTCTGATGATTCTGATGATGATGATGTCTGTGATGAAGTTTCGGATAATGATGATGATGCTTATAAGGACGATGATGATGGTGATCACGATGATGATTCGAGTGATGAATATGATGATGATGGCGATGATTTGGAGGATGTTGTCGCTGCTGCTGCGGCTGACGATGACGCTTTGGATGATGGTGGTGATGATGTTTATGATGATGTTTCAGCACATGATGAAGATGATAATTATTTTGATGATCCGGATAATGGTCATGATGACGATGATTATGATCATGTTAAGGATGATTCGGATGATGGTGATGCTGATTAAGAAGGAGACGATAAGGGAGATGATGATGATGATAATAATGATGATTCGGATGAGGAGTCGGTTGATGATCAGAACGATGCCGATAATGATGCTGATGAATATGATGATGACGATGATGACGATGATGATGAAATTGAGTCGAATGATGATGATGATACTGATGATTTGGATGATGAAGATCATGAAGATGATGACGACTATGATGAATCGGATGAACATGATTAGGAAGATAGTGTTATTTATGATGATGACGATGATGATGATGATGAGGATACAGATGATGATGATGATGCTGTTGATCAATATCTGATCAATTTGGGGATGATTGGCATGATGATGATGACGACGATTATGAAGATGATGATTATGATGTAGATGAGGATGATGATGATGATGATGATGATAGTGATAATGACGATGTTGATGATGAGAATGATGATGATGTTGATTCGGACGATGATGATGAAGATGAAGTTGATGATGTCGATTCAGATGATATTTGCGATGATGATGTTTCAGATAATGATGATGATGCCGATGATGACGATGATGACCATGATAACGGTGATGTTACTTATGAGTATGTTGTGGGTGTTGACGACGAAGATGGTGATAATGATAGTGAAGATGATTCGAATGATGATGATGACAGTGATGAGTCGGATGATGATGAAGATTATGATGATGATTCGGATGATGATACTGATGATGACGGTGTTATTTTTCGGATAATGATGATGATGCTTCGAATGATGATGATGGTGATGATGATGATGACGATGCTTCCAATGGGGATTATTATGAGGATGATGTCGATGATTCGGAGGATGGTTACGTTGATATGGATGATGCAGATGTTGCTGAGGACGATGACGATGAATAGGATGATGATGATGATGACGACGATTCGGATGATTCTGATGGTTATGATGATAATGATAATGACGATGATGATGATGACAATGATGATAATGATACGGATGAAGATTATGATGATGATGATGTTGAAGTTGATGATGATGATGATGATGTTGACGATAATTTTTTAGATGACGATGATGATGATGAATTTGATCATTCGGATTAGGCTGACGATGATCATGATCACGTCCTGGTGAAGAATGATTCGGATGATGACGATGATGCCGATGCTGAAGCTGACTATGCTGATGATGATCCTGATGAAGATGATGATTCATATGATGAATGAGATGAAGACGAAACTGATGTTGATGATGATAACGAATATGATGAGGACGATAACGATGATTTGTAGGATGGAGCTGACGATGATGATGATGATGATGATGATGATGATAATGATGATGAAGATGATGATGATGTTGTTGATGATGATGTTTCAGATGACGTTGATGATGATGTCTTTGGTGTTTCGGGCGACGCTGAAAATGCTCATGATCATGATATCGAGAAGGATCATTCGGATGATGAAGATGATGCTGAAAATGAAATTGACTATCATGATGATGATGATGATGATGAATAAGAAGATTCAAATGATGAACCGGATGATGATGATACTGATGATGATGATGATGATGATGAAGATGATTATAATGATGGAGATGAGGATGACGACGAGGATGATGCTGATGATTCGGATGATGATGTAGATGACGACGCGGATGATGACTGTGATGATGATGTTACAGGTGATGACGAGGATGATGGTGATGATGATGGTGACGAAGATGATGATTATGATACTGATGCTGATGATTATGATGATTATGATGATGCTGTTGATGATGATGATGATGATAATGATGATGGTGATGATGATGATGATGATTTGTATGGTGGTGTTGATGTTGATGTTGATGATGTTTTGGATAATGAGATTGATGATAATTATACCGATATTGATGGTGATGATATTGAGGTTTCGGATGATGATGTTGACAAAAATGATGATGATTATGGTGAATCTGATGTTGATGTTGATGATGATGATGATGATGATGATTGAGATGAAGATGGTGATGCCGATGTTTCGGTTAATGCTGTTGATGCTGATGATCATGAACAAGATTCGGATGATGTTCACGATGCCGATGATGATGATGAAGATAATGATGGTCATGATGATGATCACGATGATGATTCGGATAATGATGCTGATGATTAGAATGATGATGACGCTATTGATAATGATGATGCCGATTATTCGGATGATGATGATTCTGATGAAGATGATTCGAATGATCATGATGATACTGATCATTCGGATGATGAAGAGGTTTTGATGATGTTAAGGATGATGATGTTTATGATGCTGGTGATGTTTCGGATATTGATGATGATGCTTAGAATGATGATGATGATGATGATGATGATGATGATGATGATGATGATGATGATGATGAGCATGATGAGGATGATGATGCTGATGCTGATGATGATGTTCATGATGATGATCACGATGATGATTCGGATAATGATGCTGATGATTAGAATGATGATGACGATTATTCGGATGATGATGATTCTGATGAAGATGATTCGAATGATCATGATGATACTGATCATTCGGATGATGAAGATGTTTTGATGATGTTAAGGATGATGATGTTTATGATGCTGGTGATGTTTCGGATATTGATGATAATGCTTAGAATGATGATGATGATGATGATGATTCGAATAATGAATATGATGAGGATGAAAACGATGATATGGATGATGATGATGATGATGATGATGATGAAGATGATTCGCATAATCATGATGATAGTGATAATTGGGATGATGGTGATGTTTACGATGATAATGATGACGATGATGATGATGGAGGGCATGATGTTGATGATGATCACGATGATGTTTCGGATAATGATGGTGATGATTCGAATGATGAGAATGAGGATAAGATTGATGATGATGGTGATGACTGGAAAGAAGTTTATTATGATGGTGATGACGACGATTCGCAGTGAGATCATGATGGTGATGATGATGATGATTCAAATGATGGTGATGTTTATGATGACGTTGATGATGATGATGAAGATGACGATGAAGAAGATGATGATGATGATTAGGATGATGACGATGATATTGATGAAGATGCTAGAGATGAGTTTGATTTGTAGGATGATGGGGATAATGATGATGTTGATGATGATGATGATTATGACGATGATGATTCGAATTGTGACGGTGATATTGAAGATGATGATGAGGATAATGACAATGATGATGACGTTGTTGATGATGCGGATGAGGATAAAAATGACGATGTTCATGATGATAGTTTTGGTGAATCGAATGATGATTCCGTTGACGATGAAGAAAATTCGCATGATGATGACAACGATGATGATGATTTGTTTGGTGATGATGATGGTGATGATGATGATGATGCTTGTGATGATGATGATGACGATATTGAGGATGTTTCCGATGATGATGATGATGATGATGAAGATGTTGAGGATGATAATGATAGGAATGTTGATTCGGATGATGATGATGATGATGATAATGAAAAAGATTATGACGATGATGATGATGAAGATGGTGATGATAATGCTGATTACGATAATGATGTCGACAATGATGACCATTCGTATGGTGAAGATGATGACGACGATGACGATGATGTTGATTCGGATGATGATGATGATGATGGTGACGATGATGATGAGGGAGATGATTACGATATGGATTTTGATGATGGTGATGATGACGGTGATTCGGATGATGATGATGATAAAGGTGATGATGACGTGGATGAATGAGATGATGACGCTTGTGAAGAGGAAGAAGATTCGTGTGTGATGTTGAGGATGATGATGATGTTGATGATGATGATCATGATGATGACGATGATGATGATGATTCGAATGATGGTGATGTTTATGATGATTTTGATGAAGATGATGATGTTGAAGATGATGATGTTGATGATAATGATGATGGTGATGACGATGATGATGATTTGTATGGTGGTGTTGATGTTGATGTTGATGATGTTTCGGATAATGAGATAGATGATAATTATACGGATTTTGATGGTGATGATATTGAGGTTTCGGATGATGATGCTGACAAAAATGATGATGATTATGGTGACTCTGATGTTGATGTTGATGATGATGATGATGATGATGATGATGGTGATGATGATGATGATGATTTGTATGGTGGTGTTGATGTTGATGTTGATGATGTTTTGGATAATGAGATTGATGATAATTATACCGATATTGATGGTGATGATATTGAGGTTTCGGATGATGATGTTGACAAAAATGATGATGATTATGGTGACTCTGATGTTGATGTTGATGATGATGATGATGATGATGATGATGATTGAGATGAAGATGGTGATGCCGATGTTTCGGTTAATGCTGTTGATGCTGATGATCATGAACAAGATTCGGATGATGTTGACGAAGCCGATGATGATGATGAAGATAATGATGCCGATGATGATAATTTGGATGATGATGTTGATGGAAATGATGATGATGGTGACGGTGATGATGAGGGAGATGATTACGATATGGAGTTCCATGAGGGTGATGATGACGGTGATTTGGATGATGATGATGATAAAGTTGATGATGACGAGGATGAATCTGATGATGACGCCTGTGATGAGGAAGAAGATTCGTGTGACGGTGGTGATGAAGATTATGATGATGTTTACCAATCGAATGATGATGTTGAGGACGATTATGATGAAGATGATGATAATGGTGATGAAGATGATGATGACGATTGGGATTAAGATGATGATGATAATAATGTTGATGACGATTCGATTGATGATGAATAATACGGCGGTTCGAATCATGACGGTGACGATGACGGTGATGTTGATGATGATTGTGATGATCATGATGATGATGATGATGATGATTCAGACGACGACGATGATGGTGATGATAGTGAAAATGACGATGATGCTGATGATGATGATCATGATGATTTTGAAGATGATGAGGGTGATGACAAAGATAATGATGTTTATGATGTTGATTACGATCAGGATGTTGATGATGATGATCATTCGTATGGTCATTATGATGAAGACGGTGATGACGATGTTGATTCGGATGATGAAGATGATGATAATGATGAATCGGATGAGGATGTTGATGATCATTCGGATGATGATGGTGATGACGGTAATTAAAAGGTTGATGATGATGATGATGATTCGGATAACGATAATGATGTTGAAAATGATAATGTCGATGATCTTGATGAGATGGATGCAGATAATTATGAAGATGATGATTCGGATGATGCTGAAGATGATGATACTGAGGATGAAGAGGAAGATGATTTGGATGAAGACCATGGTGATGATAATGTTGATGACGATTCAAATGACGATGAAAAATAAGACGATTCGTATGCTGAAGTTGATGATGATGACGATGGTTATGTTGATGCTCATCATGGTGACGATGACGATGATGTTGGTGATGTTTGTGATGATGATGATGATGATGATGATGACGATGATGATGCTGCTGCTGCTGATGATTTTGATGATGATGATTGTGATGAAGATGAGTATGATGATGATCATGATGATGATGATGAGGTCTACGATGAGGATGATGATGACGGTGATGACGACGATATAAATGTTGATGATAATGATGATGATGATGATGATTCCGATGATGATGATGATAATGATGATGATGAATCGAATGAATGTGATGCAGATGATGATGATGATCATGATGATGAGGATGACAAGGACGATGATAAATTTGTTTATGATGATGGTGTTGATGGTGCTGATGATGATGATGACGATGTTTATGATCATGACAACGGGAATGACGATGATGATATTGATGTTTCTGATGATGATGATGATGATAGTGAATGTGATTATGACGGTGATGATGATGATGAGGTTGCTGTCGCGTATGATGATCTTGATGATGATGCTGCTGCTGCAGATGATGCTGATTCGGATGACGACAGACATGACGAAAAATCTGATGTTGATAATGATGATGATGATGATGATGATGATTATGAATATGCTGATGATGCTGATGCAGATGATCATGATGAAGGTATTCATGATCAGTATTTCGACCACGATGATAATGATCATCTTGATTGTGACGATGATGATGATGAAGAGGATTATGATGATGATGATGATGATGATGATGATGATGACGATGGTGATGACGATGACGATGATGATGATGATGATGATGACGATGATGACAATGATGATGATAATTGTGACGATGACGAATAAATGTTGATAAGGATGATGATGATTCAGATTATGATGATGATGATGATAATGACAAATAGGATGACCATAATTTTGATGTTGATCATCAGGATGACGATGATGTTGACAATGATGATGACTCGGACGTTGGTGACTCTGATGATGATGAAAATGTTGATAGAGTTTCTCCCGATGATTCGAATGAAGGTAATGCAGACGATGATGATCATGATGATGATGATGATGATGTTGATGATGATGGAGACGATGACAAAGTTCGTGTTGAAAAAACGATGATGATGATTTTGGTGTTGATGTTGATGATGACGATGATGATGATGAAGATGATGATGACGATGACGATGTTGACGAACCAGATGATGTTGATGACGAGGATGATGCTGCTGCTGCTGAAGCTCCTTCTGATGACTGTATGATGAACATCATGATGGTGATGGTAATGATGATGCTAGTGATGATGATGATGATGATGATGGTGATGATGATGATGATTGTGATGATGATGAAGCTGATGATGTTGATTCCGATAATCATGATGATGATGATGATGACGAGGATGATGATGATGATGATGGCGATGATGATGGTGATGATAATGATGGTGAGGCTGATGATGTTGATGATTCGGATGATGTTGATGACGAAGTTGCTGCTGCTGCTGCTGCTGCTCAATCTGATGCCGTTAATGATGACGATCATTATGCGAATGGTAATGATGATGATGATGTTGATGTTGATGATGATGGCGCTGTTGATGATTATGATGATGATTTGAATGAAGGTGTAGAGCAAGATGATGACCAAGGTGATGATGATGACGAGGATGATGATGATGATAATGGTGACGATGATGTTGATGCTGAAGTTTCGAAGGGTTATGATGTTGATGATGATGATGTTTATGATAATGCTGCTGACGAAAATGATGTTGGAAATGAAGATGACGTTTGAAAAAAAGAGGAGTCTGATGATGATGAGGATGATACTGAGGTTGATGATGATGATCATGCGGATGGTGTCGATGATAATCACGACGAGGAGGCTGATATTTATTTCGATGAAGACGACGATGGTGATGACGATGATGATGATTGGTCGGATGGCGATGATTGTGATGTTTCGGATGATTACTATGATGGTGATGGTGATCATGACTCGGTGGAAGATGAAGCTGATTAGGATGATCAGGGAGATGATGATAATTATGATGATGGTGTTGATGATGATGAAGATCATAATGATTAACAGGATGACAATTATGACGAAGATGATGTTGATTATGATGTTATGATGGTGATGTTGATGTTATCGACGATATTCATGGAGATGAAGATGATGATCACGATGACGAAGATGATGACTCGGATAATGCTGATGATGATGATGAAGATGATGATGATGATGATGATGATGATGACGATGATGATAATGATGATCATGACAACGGTGATGATGAGGATGATGATGACGATGATGATGATCACGATGATAATGACGATGAGGAGGATGATCATGATTCGAGTGAGGATGATAAAACGGCTGGAAGTGAAAATGATGAGTCGTTTGATATTGTCGATTACGCAAATAATGATGATAACGATGATGATGAGGATGATGATGATGATAATGATAATGACGATGATGATGATGATGATGAAGAAAATGAGGACGATGACGAGGTTGATAAAGATTGTGAAGGTGATGGTGATGATTATAATGAAGCAATGCCGAGTCGTGTGATTATATAAATTAAGATGAAAATGATGATGAAGAAAATGGTTATGACGATGAACATGATGATGATGATGAACATGATGTGAATGAAAATGATGATGATGGTGATTCTGATGATGATGATCAAAATGATGCTGATGCGGATAGTGAATTCCATGATAATGATGACGAGGATCGTTAAGATAATAATGATGATTACGCAGATGATGGTGATGAAGATGGCAATGAATATGATGATGATATTGATGATGATGATGATGAGGATGATTCGGATGATAATGCTGATGAGGACGATGATAATGGTGTTGACGACGATATTGACGATGTTGTATACGATGATGATGAATGTGACGACGACGATGATGACGATGATGATGATGATGATGATGATGAAGATGATGATGATCGTGATCATGATGATGGTGGAGACGATGAGGATAATGATGATTTTGATGTTGATGACGATGATGGTGACGATGATGAATGTGTTTCGGATGATAAAGGTGATGTTGATGATGAAATTGAGGATGTTGAGGAAGATGATTATGACGAAGAATTTGGTGATGAAAACGATATTGTTGATGACAGTTATTCGGATGATGATGATGATGCTCATGATGGCGATTCGGTTGATGATGTACCGATGATGATGAAGAGGATGATGATTCGTATGATGATGGAGAACATGTGATTTTGAAGACTCGGAGATGATCGAAGCTGATAATGATGACGAAGATGGTAATGAATCGAATGATGATTATGTTGGTGATGATGTTGTTGATGAAAATGATGAATCGGATGATGGTGGTGTTGGACATGATGATGACGATTTTCTCGATGATGATGTTTCGGAGGATGATGATAATGACAATGACGCTGATTTTGAAGGTAAAGATGAATATGACATTGATGATGAACATGATGAATCGGATGATGATGATGATGATGTTGGTGATGATGATTCGAATGAGGATGCAGATGAGGAGGATGTTCATGTTGAGGATCATATTGATGACGATGATAATGACGATGATGATGTTGATGATGATGATGATGATGATGACTCGGTTGATGATGATCCTGTCGACGATGTGGATGATGATGATGATGTTGATGATTATTGGGATGTTCATGATGATAATGATGCTGACGTCTATGATGTTGATGATCAATTCGATGATGATGACGATGAAGTTTTCGATGATGATGGTGATTTCATAGAGGATGAAAATGAGGAGGACGTCGACGTCGATGATGATTTTGATGATTATGAAGATGATGTTGATGATGAGGATGACGATGACGTTGATGATGATTCGGATGATAATGATTCGTATGATGATGATGATGATGATGATGATGATGCTGATGAATCGCATGATGATGCAGATCAAGGTGACGATTAATTTGATGCTGATGATGAAGACGACGATGATGAACATGATGCTGATTATGATGATAATGGTGTTGATGAAGGTAATCATGATGATGATGATTTTGATGATGATGATGATAGTGATTTGGATATCAGCATTTAATGAGAATTAATTGCAACGAAACTTTCATTTTTGTATGCACAGTTGTTTCTCTTCCACCTTTCTCAACTTTGAAGTCGATTCTTTTGTTCGCAAAGTACTACTTTCTTTGATAGCTTGAAAGAAACCAAGCGAAAAGAAATCAAACCCAATAAAACTCCAACCCAACAGCTCCCATAAATTACCCGCTAAAGGCACATGCAACTTGCTGTTAGGCGTTTCTCTTTTCAGTCTTTTTGTTCTTATCAGAGCAGGACGGATTGCGCCGACAATTTCTTAAGATGTCAAACTGTGTTGTGTTATATTGTCCGTACTCACCTCCGCATTGAATTTGCTCATCGAGTCTCAGTTGGGTACGCTTTCGCTCCGTTATACCTCCGCGTGTTTCGGTTCTCCTCCTGATGTTGTCTGTTTTGCCGGAGGTACTTAATTCGTACTTGCTATTTGATAAGACATTTTTATCTTCACAAAAGATGTTTTCTGTCGATGTTGATTTACTNGTTACTTCCCATGAAACGGTAGACTTTTCATATCAGTTGATCTCACCAATGAATATTCACCTTGATATTCCTCGTGTTTATTCAAAAGATATTATCATTACCTAAATGAGAACAAACGATTAAGCTTTGAAAGAACAGCGTGGAGAAAAATTGGCGGCGTAGCAATGGGCAGTCATTTAGGCCCAACGTCAACTAATGTATTTCTACTACTGGTTGAAACACGATTGAATGATAGCATTCGAGTGGCTGATTTTTGAAAACTTTAGTTGAATATTATTTTAAATCACCGACTTTGAGCATTT